CCCCGCTACCGGGTAAGGCGCAGCGTGCGGGGGCACCGGCAGCGCGCCCGGCTCGGGGTTCCGCCCGGGGCATGGACGGGACGGGGGAACCGTGCGGGCTTCCCGGGGTCTTCCTCCCGGGGTCGCTTCTCTCTCGGTCCCACGTGGGGACACTTGAGCCCGCGCAGCGGCCTCCCTTGTGTCCCCGGTCCCACCTGGGGGTCACCCTGGTGTCCCCTGTCCTTCCTCAGGGTCCCTCCCCGGTGTCCCTCGTCAGCAGGAGCCGCTCCCGGGGGTTCCCGGTGGCCCTGGGGATCCTCACCGCGGTGTCCCCTGCAGGACGCGGAGATCGTGCGGACGCGGGACCCGCAGCTCTTGGCCGCCTGTGACGTGGTGGTGGACGTGGGGGGCGAGTACGACCCGGGGCGGCACCGCTACGACCACCACCAGAGGTGAGACACCGCCCCCCGGGACAGCGGCATCCCCGGGGGACCGCGGGGTGACCGTGTGGCCCCACAGGTCCTTCACGGAGTCCATGCGGAGCCTGCGGCCGGACAAGCCCTGGAGCACGAAGCTGAGCAGCGCCGGGCTCGTCTATTGTCATTTCGGGTCCCAGATCCTCGCGGGGCTCCTGGGGCAGCCCGAGGATGGGCCCGTGGTCACAGCGCTCTATGACAAGGTGACAGGGGGTCTGTCACCCTGCCAGGGTCACAGTCTTGCGCAGGGCTTGTCCTTGGTGGGAAAGGGGACCAGTTTGTGGCAGCTTGGGCTTCCAGCCAGGCTGAGCTCTGCTGTCCCCTCACTGTCCCCTCTGCCCCGCTGTTCCCCCTGTCCCCCCTCTACTGCCCCCTTACTGCTCTGTCTTGCTGTCCCCTCACTGTTCCTCATGTTCCCCCTCTTCTGTCCCCTCTTTCCCCCTCCCTGTCCCCAGCTGTACGAGAACTTTGTGGAGGAGGTCGATGCTATGGACAACGGGATTGCGCCAGCGGCGGGGGAGCCGCGCTACGCCCTGAGCACCACTCTGAGTGCCCGTGTGGGGCATCTGAACCCCCGCTGGAACGACCCCGACCAGGACACCGAGGTGGGCACAGCCCCCAGGGACACCCCTCTTAGGGACACAGTGCTCAGGGACACTGCTGACCCCCGTGTCCCCAGGCGGGGTTCAGGAGGGCCATGGAGCTGGCAGGCAGCGAGTTCCTGCAGCGCCTGGACTTCTACCACCGGGCCTGGCTGCCAGCAAGGGCGCTGGTGGAAGAGGCTGTCCGGCACCGCTTCGAGGTAATGCCAAGCCAGCCCAGCAGAATCTGGAATTCTGGGGGAGAACTGGGGCGTGGGGAGGCCAAATCCCTTTGGTAGAAACCTCCCGGGGAGGGGCCCCTGCACCCCTGCTGGAGGCCACTCGGATGTTTGGGGACACTGAGCCCCGGGTGGTTTCAGGAGTCACCCCCGTGTCCCCTGTGCAGGTGGATGCCAGTGGGCAGGTCCTGGAGCTGTCCCAGGGTGGCTGTCCCTGGAAGGAGCACCTGTTCCAGCTGGAGCGGGAGCTGGCCCTGCCCAAGCCACTGCAGCTCGTGCTGTTCCCGGACCGGGGCGGGCAGTGGCGGGTGCAGAGCGTCCCCACAGCCCCCCACAGCTTCCAGAGTCGGTGAGACCCCTCCCCATGTCCCACCATTGCCCCCCGTGGGGCCGGGGTCACTCCCAACACATCTGTCCCCCCACAGGCTCCCCCTGCCCGAGGCCTGGCGGGGACTCCGGGATGAGGCGCTCTCGGAGCTGGCTGGAATTCCCGGCTGCATCTTCGTCCACGCCAGCGGCTTCATCGGGGGGAACCAGACCCGGGAGGGGGCATTGGAGATGGCCCGAAGGGCACTGGAGCTTGGGGGGGGCACTGAGAGCACGTGAGCCCCCTCCCCAGCAGGGACACCCCAAAAGGGGCCCAGTGTGGGGTCCCAGGAATGCTGCAGGGACCGTTTTCACACAGATCCTAGATTCTCCAAGGGATTTGCTGTGCTGGGGGTGGGAGCAGCAGCTGCTGGGAGTCTCAGAGCACCCAGCCCTGTGCTGCATGGGTGCCAGCCCAGCCAGAGACTTTTTGGCTCCATTTTCTGGGAGCTTGTCCCCATTCCTGTCATGTCCCTGCACCGAGGTGCTGCCAGCATCAGTAAAAACCAGTGTGTGCCCAGTGCATTGGCTGTTGAGGGGTCCCAGGGGGGCTGCGTGTGACGCTTGGGGGTTGCTGTGACTTGGGGACAGCTGTGATCCCCCCGCAGCACGGAGACAGCAAC